ATAATATTTTGAATTTAATGTACTAAAAAATTATTTTATCAAAAATATGATTACTTGAATTAAAAAATAACATATGTGTATGCTTTTTGTTGTTAAAATTGATATTCATTCATAGCTGTTTTCAATTATTGGTTTATTAGTGATGTAGTGTATGAGATTTATTATTTGATAGCTTTATAATTTGTAAAAGAATCAAATTAGTAGAATAAAATAACACAAAAATATTATTTAATATATTTTTTCAAAGAAATTAATGATGCTTGAAGATGTTAGATTTTATTGGTTTTAAATTAATTTAAACTATAAAATTGAGGTTATTTTACTTTGTTTTGATTATTTTCATACATATTCTTTGTTTTAATTGTAATATGTTGAAATTTTAGGTTTATAGTATCATGAATTATTTCAATTCATTAAATTATGAGAATATTCTGGCGGTTGATATCTATTATTTTGAAGTCACACTGATGGGACGTGATTACTAATGCAGGTGGTTTTCGTATGAAAAAAAAGAGAACCTTTCCAGATTCCACAACTTCGCACTTTGCTCCAAGACATCCACACTCTGCATTTTGGCTTGACTGCAAGAGTGATGGCGAAAGCTTCGCGGGCGAGAACTCTGGCCCGATTGGATCTCGGAATACGATAAGGCGTTCGGTATTTTTGACATCAGTGACCAATGTGTTCGTCATGGAGTCGGCCACCTTTCACATGCTAGGAAGGAACATCGAGGATTCACCGAAGGGCGAGCCCGAAAGACATTTACAAGAAATCAAGAAAGTTTCAAGCTCGATGGTCCACATCTAACTCAGACATTTCCTTCACGCATCAAAATTCACTTATCGAGAAGTCCTCACTCCCTAGAGGCCAACTCTACACAGCAGATTGTTACGGCCAAACCCGAAGTCACTAATTCGATCGCTTCCAGAACACACCTTACGAGTTTTCCTCTCCCAGTTTCAATTACAAAGGTTGATGATGATAGTACAGAGATTGTTTGTTCGTTGCTACCTGTGTACTTGCTGGTTGGATTGGATCCCCTCTCCTCTTGTTGCAGCCTATAATTATGACAATCCGGAATAGGAGTTTTACTTTCTCAGGAATACTTCACAAATTTGATAAACTGATATTTGCTACGAAAACGTCAACGTCATGTCGCTCGTCGTAGGGGATCGATTTGGTCGATGTTTTACATCAATCATTAAAAGGCTTCATACTCGCTCTGACTTCATCCATATTCTTCGTCTTTACAACCTCTTGCCATCGGCGTCGAGTGATGAAAGCCATGATGGGTGACATGTTCGAACAACCTTGCTGAAGAAGAGAGAAGATGGAAGAACGAACAGCGACAAAAACTGGGATGTGTGTCATCCGCTACCTCTCGAGAACAGTAGACTCTCATGAACCGGAAGATCTTTTGGGAGTGGAGAAAGGGGAGAGGAGCAAGCTCGAGAGAGACATGAATGAAAGAAGGAGACAAAAAGATCCAGCTCCTTGCTCCGATACAGCGTACAGGAGCGAGTAGCGTATCTAGGGCCGATACTCGAAAGCGAGAAGCGTATTCCGGATAGTCCAGGAAGATTCTTCGATCCACGTGCCTTGAGTGACCCAATTCTTTTCGCTTCACGATGGCCAGTGAAGTGCCCTCAATGCTGAAAGTCCCAGTCAATGTCCACCATACTTCTTATCTTTATGCGGACTATGTGTCACTCGGGTCCCACACCACCCTACGCCCGCTACTCCCACATGCCAGGACTGTCATACGTTACGTTCGTCCTTTTGCTCGATCTCCAATATTCTCAGTGTTCGATCGTGTATAGAGTCTAGAGCTCCTCCCGCTTGCAATTTACTGGACGGCACAATCGAGTGCTCTCGCTCCGATTGGTAAAGTATGAACGAGCAACGAGTGTAAAATCGCGAAAGAGGAAACTTTCTTATTCACCAATGGGGAAATTAGAGAGTTCTGTTGAGATTTCGAGATCTTTTGCAGGCTTCGGATAGAGTGTGCACCGAAGATGACAGCTTTTTCTGTGCTTCCATCCAGCTACAACCTGTCTCTCCGAAGACCTTAAAAGTAGGTCAAAGTAATCGAAGTAAATTGTGTATCATTTTATTAATGTTATTGAGAGGTCTTTGACTTTGTTTCTCTAATTGTGGGGACCTACTGATTTTGAATCAAGATTCAGGCAATTTGGAGCTAAGGATTTGGTTCCATTGTAGTGTGTATTTGCACACATACTATTACCCAAACAAGATAATTCAGCTCTGGCTTGATTGATCATACATTGTCACAATGTATGATATTGGTTAGGCTCAAAGGTATAGCCAGTCAAATCATTGTTTTTATATATCTCTAATCGTACTAAAGATAATCTTCCATGTATATGCAGTTTCTATGCATCATATCATATGATGCATAGAAGAAATATACTGAGATCTTTAGTGTCCATCGTTAAGCATATGATTCATATGCTTCACGATGGACACTAAAGGTCTCAGTATATTAGCTGTAATTATCATCATGTACAGAGAGCCTTTTGGCTATCAAGACGCACCCTAATGACTAAAAAATCAATCTAAAGGGTTAAAGTAAGTTTTATAGGTCTGTGAAGAAATAATTGGAAGTTAGTTAGGTGTTGTATGGATGTAGAGAACCTTACTAACACCAAGAGGTGATGAGACGGTATTTTTGATAGTTTATCACTCTGGAATTCGACCCAGATTGAGATTAAGGTGTCATACATGAGTAGATACATGAGTAGATATATAAATGTCTCAGGAACGGGTCATTAGAGAGACAATGAACAACGAACATACTCTGGAGTTCAACCACGAAACAAACTGAGTTGCTTCTGAACTGTGGATACTAATCGACAAAAATATGCAGAACATAAAGAACTGGGTTTGAAAATAATTTCCAAATGACGGTCTAGAAATAGTCGAACTTGAAGAACCGTGCTAAGCTACTGTTCCTACAGAATCTGGGTTTGGTTTCCACCCGTACATCCTGCAGTTGAAATCAAACCCAACTCATTCCTCCACATCGAGGCATCTCTAACGATATAACGTCTGATGGATGGCCGCAATGGGAAATGGAGAAGGGTACAGTCCCGTAAAGATACGATGTTTCTTCTTTGGACGTGGCACCCAGTCATTGATGCGAAGAAACCACTTTCAACCTTTGGACTCCGTAACGTTATAAAGAATGGTGCTTAGATCAGGATCTTTGGAGGGAAAACCTGCATAAAACAATTTGATAATCTTTTCTAGATAAATAATTTTGGCATTGAAATACATGTTCGGTCAAATGCTACTTACATGTTTCACAGCAAGGATCTACCGGAGAGGAATTCACAGTTAAAAAATGGAGAAGCAATTAACTCCAGGAAAACTGCGAGTAATCAGTAGTACACACAGTAATCAGCACGTGAGCGAATGAATAGATTTGGAACTCTGCACTTCTCACTTCTTGCCCCATTTCTTCGGAAAACTGAATACCGGTTTCAATGATTTTGGCTATCCCAGCAAGCGCAGATGCAATTCTGATTACCCCTTATAGCTAGGCACTTTTCTATTGGATGCGTGAAGTTCATTCTTATGACGGTGGTGGTGAAAGTAACTTTATATAAAGCTCCGTGAACCTGACAATAAAGTAAAATATTGCTATATTGAGGTCGACAGATAATATTTCTGAGAAAGAACCCTTTTTCCATATGTGAATGTCAGTTATAACGTGCATTTGCATACTTCCTCCCACAAGTGATCCACGAACTATATCTGTCATGTTTCTGACAGATATAGTTCTATATTCTAAGAGTGAAGTGATGGAAGATAGGAATGGGAAATATTAATATTTGAATTTATCATATTGTGGTACCTCCACATTCCGATACTCTACAATGGGTATTTCACTCGAGGAACGCAGAGTATAACAGTTCACAATACCGTGAGTTCTATGGTGTATAGTCTGTAAAGAGAAGTTGGGTACATCATATGGAGTGAACTTTCATATGCCTTGTACTTCATTCCGATAAGTATGTATTTGATTTGGGATGAAAAGTTAATGTTCCATACTTGTGGTTACACGTTATACGGATGGCTATCAATACAAGAGGATCAAGAAATGGTGTAGCATTTGCATGTTCGTGAGAAAATGCAAGATATCAAACGCAACTGGTGAACTTGAGGTATCACTATGTTTACCATATTGGGAAGATTACTTAATTTAAATAAGAATCCGTTCTTTAACATAGAGAACTCACAAGTGCAATCTATATTGAGTCAGTAAATTGTTTAATCATCCTCACAATGATGGATTTCCTGTTATGAAGCTCTTCACTATAAGGCTCTGTATGAACCCTAAGAGTGTAAACGAGCAATTCACGTGATTCTTTATGCTACCTTAATATGAGTAAGAGTATCTATTGCATCGAAAAGACCACATCCAGCCATAAAAAATAATTGAAATCTAAAAGGAAAAATCATCCCAAAAACATTCATTGGGATACCTTAATTATTCTCGTATGTTGACTGAATAAATTACATGAGAATTAAAAATAATTACCATCCAACCTGCATACATATGCGAACATATCGTATATGATCCGAAAACGTCATATGACCCAAAAGTAACATTCCCTCCGGTTTGGGATTTACCAGGTATCAGCAAGCTGCTGACACGCTGGAAGTGTCAGGGCCGTTGTTGCCTCCCGGATTCGTGCGGCGGCCGAAACCTCGCACCGCCGATCCGCCAAAGTAGACCCACTATCCTTGTCTGTAACTTTCATGTCCATCCACGTCAACGGGGCTGCCACATACTTCCCGGACGACGTGGAAAGGTCTCTCCACGTCATCTCTCGGTCGTCCTCCGTTGTCATAATCGACAGAGAAGTGGCGGCTGCTCTTCACCTGGGGACGGTGATCGGGGCAACGGTAAGGTAAGTCACGACGGGTAAAGAGGAGACCCGCAGGTCCCGTGCCCTGGAAGACTTCGGGTCTCGATCGGTCAGACCTCAGATTCAGCGAGAGCGAGTGCGGGGTTAGAGAAAAGGAGGCGTCTCTACTTCTCCCTCCTTTGGCTCGAGATCGTTCGTTGGCAGACAGAGCGCAGCGTTCGTCCGACAAGCGAGGCAACAATCAATCGAGCGGAGCGAGCAAACCCCCGAGCCCCGAGAGCGCTCGTAGAGAGCTGTGTGTCGCTTTAAGATCCGCCCGCAGTTTCCTACGGGTGCAATCTCTTCCGACGCTGAATCTTCTCCCCGTCTGGCTGGATTGCTGGCGGGGCTTGCCTGTCGCCTTCGTTGGCGGGGTTGTGAGTGGACCGAGGGAGTTGTTTCTTTGTGGGCGTCAGTCTGCGAGTGCGGCGCGTCGTTCAGGTATCGGATTTGCTGGATTGCTTTGACCTCGAGAAATCTTAGCATTTTATTTTTTCATGTTCTGGTTCGCGATTTGGCCGGAAGGCAGGGTCTGTTGACTGCTCGGGCTGCATCTCGCTGCGAACTGGAGATTGGGTGCGCCGATGGGGTACCATGATACGTGAGAATTGGAAGATTGTGTCAAGGGTTCAGTGGTCTCATGGTTCTCGTTGTTGAATCGATCCTCTGGTCTGTGAGCTTGCGTGGCTGCTGGGGGTGCTTGGTGTAATCTAATGCGTTGTTTCAGTGCTGAGTCTTCTTCGGAAGCAGTTAATTTGGGCCCGAATCGCTGCCGCAAAGTAAAGTTTTTGGAAGGTTTTCAAACGTTGCATCTCGGCTTTCGGAGTGTGTTAATTTTTGTTTCGTCGTTGTCCCATCGGAACGTAGCGCCCATCTACGCAAGTGGGAAATGCTTGTCCTTGTCACCTTTATGAATATTTTTTTGCCTGTTTCGAGACGTCCCTTCCGGTTGATGTGCAGCAGACTCAACGTTGTTTTTTTTGAAGTCATTATGTTGCGGAATTGCTAGCAGGAAGATTTTGTCGATTTTGGCATGGATCTTCTCTCTGAGCCCATTCGTCAGATTCTCATTGTGTATTTGCTATGACTATGAATCGTTTCCGGTAGCCTTGACGTTTTACTATCACTAACCATCAGAATTGGTTCTACAGAGGATGTTAAGAAGCTTATCAAAAGTTGCTAGCACTGCTGGTGCTGCAGCAACGGCCGCTGTGGTCTCCGTATCGAGTGCAGCTGCACATGCAGAGTTTCCAATGAAGAAGTTTCGAGAAGATGCACATTCAAGGCTCTCTAAACCTTCTCCAGGTCCGAACTACATCGAAGACGAGTATGATTTCTGTCACGAGGATATCTACTCTGCTTTAATCGGGGGAGTTCCTTCTCAAGAAGAAGTAGAGGAAGCTACGAGGGATCTGCAAGCGACGTTTGTGCAGAAGTAATTTTCTATCTCAGCTGTTGATGTTGCTTTGTAGCAGATATATGAATCATCGCGTACTTTGAACTTTTACTCATATCCTTGCGTCTTGTTTGATTTAAGGAGGAACAGCTAGAAATATGTTTGTCGTTAATTCGTTTATTTTGGTTCTCGTCCTACGGACGTTCTCCAACAGCGAAGAAGTCTCCTTTCTTTAGAGTTACTAACATGCGATGGGCCTACGCGCAAGTTTATCCGATTGGACTTTAACCTCAGTCACCGCAACCAAGGTTGTGATTACTAAACTATCGGACTGCGTGCAGTGAGGAGAGCAGGGAGTTCTTAGATCCCAAAGATCGTGAACCAAAGCAGGAGAGCTGCGACGCGGTAGCAATCCCGGACTCTGATGCGGAATGCTCCTCTTCCAAGGACTTTTGCCATGGCGACCAAGTGCCTTTACCTCCACCAACAACATCGCCGGAGGCAACCACATCGGCGGAGACGTCGTCTGACTTTCTTAAGCCCTCCACCTCTACAGTGGAGCGCAACATTCAGGCTATGACGGTTCGGGGTACAAGCAGCGTGGTGGCTCACTGCGTGGATCTACTCCAGCGGGATCCTGATATCCAGGTGATCTCTCTTTCCGTTCATGCAGCCTCGTAATTTCAGGTGGAAACTGTTGTTTTAACCACGGAGGACGCAAGCATGAAAGTGGTCGTATGTGCCTTATTCAAAGCGTTTAAAACATGATGTCAATTCAACTTTTACGTCATGGGACATGTTTCTTAGGTTCTTTTGGCAAGTTGCAAGTGATCCTGGACTAAAATTCATGCCGATTCGTTCCTGCCTTATCAGGCTGCGGTTGTTTCTCTAGCGAAAGACCCTGCCATCTGGGACGCCTTTGTCAAGAATGAGAAAGTGCAAGAGTTGTTGCGGTCAAGAAGTACTAAGTTGGCTCTCACAGAAGGTAAGCCAACGCTGAACGGATGGGAAAATTGTGATATTCTTGCCTACGTTAGCCGCTGCAGAAGGTCTTTTACTGACGGTTTTTTGAACGTGCTCGTGTTGCGGTGATTGATTTGAAGTGAAGGTTAGAACATGTTACACTTGTATGAGTGCCATCTTACCGTATACGAAATCATATATTGAAAATTTTTGTGGTCGTTTCAAATATCACAGGAACATCGTCCTTTAAGGAGAACTCGAAAGCGGCTAATAGAGGACGTGACGGGAAAGGACGTGAGAATCCGTTCGTCGTAGCTTTGCTCTGCGTGAAGAATCTTATTTTTGAAGTTATGGACACTTTCGTAGATCTTGTTGGCAACGTCTTCGGGTTTCTGGATCAGAAAGTGTTCGGAGGAAAGGATAGCGACCCTCTTGACAAACCTCTTAAGGCTTGTATGGTGCTGACGATCCTTGTGTTAGCATTGGTGGTACTTAAGCGTGTTTGAGGGAGATGATCAAGAACCAGACTCAAAGACCAGAACAGCAATCAGACGAAAAATCATGGTGATCTTGTTGTGTTCAGTTCTTTCCAGCAGACGAGCTAACTTTGTTTATATGCAGTAGATGAGAACATGTTGAGGGTGTTGTCATTCTTAGTCATCACTTACGGAAGTGAACCTTCTAGTTGGCAACTTGGCTCCTGGATACTGTACATCCTCGAGTATGCATTTCCGCACACTGTACATACATTCGTCCTTCCTTTGTAGATAAGCCAGTCAGCATAGTGTCAAGAATCTTTTAAAAGAGAAATATAGAGAACAATGGCAATGTGGGTCCAGTGCTCGGGGGCCGGAAAGAGATTACACAGCTAGCAAGCAAGAGTGACAGAGAAGTAGATCACATATTCCTACGAAGATTTAGTATAGAGGTATATGATTGTGAAACTGGTCACTACAAACAGCCAGAAAGTTATTCAACTTCAAGATTTCAAAAATATGAGTGGCTCTTTTTTTCATTAGCAGATTTATTTTTATCCATTGTGAATAACTAAGTCTTACTGTTGTTTACTACAGCACATGTAGATAGATGTAATTTAGAGAACTGAGGAAACTTGAAATACGTGATTTTAAACAAATAAATCTGCCAAAATGAATGTGCGAGTTTTAACGAAGTTACTATTGCAGACAGATATAGATATTATTGTATTCACGACTTGATGAATAATTCACTGTGCAAGTTCTTTGTTGTGTCTGTAATATATGCCATGCATTATTACTTATTAATGATATATGCGTAGCTCGCGGTGATATGTGCAAACTTTAGTGATATATATCATTACATTCTAATATTGAATTATAAGATAGAACCTGATACTTCATTAATTACTTCTAACGTAAGAGAGCGAACAAATAAGTGTTAAGTAATCTTACTTAACAATCTTACTCATCGGATGACAGAAAATATCCTTTGAAATTTTTACTAGTATGCCATATCCGACAATTCAGAAACGAACAAGACGCTTTTGCCATTTTTCGGAAGGATAATATTTATTTCAAACCCATGAAACTGTATACAACAAAATTTAAAGTGAGCTCCGATTGAAAATTTAAAGTGTACGCCGATCGAAAATTCACTTTTCTCATATATTATAGCATCAAAGAAGTGAAACAATGTAATCAAGTTACCCTAACTGTGATTCCAGGACAATTGAACCATCATAATACCCGAATTACCTAATTAAAACAATCTAGCTAATAGTACACGAGTTCAAAACTATATTTGTAAAGTATGATACGTGAACTCTCTAGGGAAACAACTCAATTAAATGCCCTGCACGTTGAGAAATGTCCACATGTGTATAAAATGGTCGGCACATGAACACTGACTGGTCACTTTCCATCTTCTTTGGCACGCTAAGACATAGCTTCGTACTGAAATTCCCACCCCACTTGTTTGGCTAAAGCTTTGTATCTAATACACCTAAACCATTTTCCGCCAGCATTCTCTTAGACTGGAAATGTGAGCTGAACATTTCACTTTCAATAGCCGTGACTATCAACTTAAAGCTAACACGATCAAGCCAACACTCTTCAGTTCAGGTATCCACCTGAACTCATACTGTTCGCATTGACAGCACACTTGATGTTCGCTTCATTTTACCTCAACTACTCAGGTTTAGAAGCAGAGAACAAGATGTATCTTCCTCTGCGGTAAGCTTGCCAGTTGATGAAGCCGCAGCTCTCCACAAGACTTCTCAAATCACTTTCAGCGAACCATCTGATTTGCAATTGCAGTAGGTTGACCGTCTGCATTTAAATCGACACATGTACACAAAAGTAGACGTAAGAGGCCGATTCTAACTTTCTCTGATCCTAGTTCAAGGTTCATCCAATCAAGAAATGCAAACCAGGAAGGGCCAAACGAACGCAAAGATATATTTACCTCGCGGATTGGTCTGAGCGTCTCATCAAAGCCTGGTACACTGGGCGTGATAAACGTGCTGGCTACAAAGATTCCTCCTGGTTTCAAAACTCGGCTTATCTCAGCCACCTGCACAACCAGCCCCGTTACAATTGTAAACCACGTGTACTTAACTTCGTATAGGATTGAGACAAACCCTCGACAGATCGGACACTTACAGATGATTGCATATTTGGCCAACAGTGAATCGCAGCACCAGCATGTACACCAGCCAAGGATGCGGTTGCGAAAGGTAGTCGTGCAGCATCTGCTCTGACTAACACCACTTTGCTGCAAAAAATCCGCACTACGATCAGTTAGGCGCATCTTTGACCTTCAAAGTAGCTCTGTCCGACTGCGGAGCTTGAACTTCAAAAAATGTATGAGAAAAGAGCTAGATCAGGTAGAATCGTTCTAAAAAATTAGACGACAGAACAAAGACGAAATGTGATATTATGCAGTACCAAGACCAGGTGGTGGCTTTTGCTTTCTTTCTAGTCGTATGGTGTAAGGCCATAAAACGAACGAGTAAGGCTTCGTGCAACGAGGTTGGAAAAACTTACTCCAAATCCACACTTCTATCACTCTGGAGAAAGCCACGACATTGCTCAAGCATGGCCTCCGAGAAGTCAGCCGCTATAACCGTCTCGTACTCCTCGCTAGTCACAAAACGCCTAGTAAAACCTCCGGGGCCACAGCTGAGATCCATTATTACATCTCCACGGGCTGGCTTCAGAATATCCTGCGCTCGCTGAGCCTGGAGACAAACAAGCCTAAGCCCTCAATGCCATAACAAAGGCTACATGTTCGAGTACAAAAGCAGAGTGCACTTTAAGGCGACGATCTGTTTAGTAGGTAAGGTCGATACCTCTTCATCGAATCCTGGGAAGCCAGCTCGGGCAAAATTATCTCGATATCCCCTTTCGTATACGTATGCTATGAGTGGATTCCTGTTGATGACGAAGTGTATGAGAATGAGTCTTAAAGTTCGGAACAAAGGTGCGGTATGCGGTCAGTCATGAGTCCAAATCAGCCACACCTTTGCTACCAATAGACATACATAGTACTCAGCGAACTCAATGAAAAGAAGCACCTACTGAAAGAAGGAAGATCCAAGCGGGGTGGCACTGGCACGGTTCGGAATTGTTAAATCGATAATTCCTCCTTTGCTTGAGTATGATTTTCGACAACTTTGGCAGAGGAATTCCCCTTTCGCTGTGGGACTGGACAAAGAGCCAGTTCCGTGATTCAGGCCGCAAGTACACCAACTAAGAAAGCAGCTAAAGTGATATTTAACCATTTGAGGACACTTTTGTATAACAGGGCAATTCCAAATGAACTATGAGTAACAGGATCGCGTAGAATTGAGCTCGAATAATGATGGCAACAGCGAATTGCTCCATGATCGAAATAACTCAATTACTCATTCGATTTAGTCAATCGAATCCATGCAATTAACAATGAGGATTCATATGACAGCTTACAGTCTAAAGCTTTGAGAAGAACTGCCAACCACGGGCTTTTGGCACACAGGGCACACAAGCTTGACCTTCTCCTCGGTGACTGACTCGAGCTTTGGAGAAGCTCCTACCTGAATCACTCATGAACAGAATGTAAGTACCGTAATCTGATGTAAGACTGATCACATTATTGCTCACTGTATACAACACAAACCGCGGGCTGTGCTCGTGTGAGCGAGTTTCTCACAAGACAATATTCGCTACAACAGGAACAACGAAATGGGGTGATGCTGTCGGACGGGAGAGAAATTCGTGCATCCTGTCAATTGCAATTCCTTCAAGTTCGCAAACGTGGACGCTTTCATCTGAGCATGTGCGGAGGGAAGGCGGGATTACATCAGGAGATGGTGCTGAAGAAACGGCGCAACGAACGAAATCCCGTGTACGAATCTCTTGCGACGGGAAGCGCGGAACAGCTGAAACCAACTGCCGCAGGGAAACACACGCGTCTTTCTTGAACTGCTGACCAGTTCCAGACGGAATCCTCGACAGACTCCAAGTCATCGTCAGCGTAGCCATCACTGCCAAACTCCGCTCGAATCTCGCTCCTCTTTCGCGGGCTGCGACAAGCAGGACAATTCAGCCCAAATCTGTGACGAGAATTTCTCGTTCGTCAGCGCCGCTCTCCGATGATATATCAAACCATTACTCAGACCTCAGAATTCCGATCTCCGCGAAGAGGAAGAATCGAGTAGCGCAGTGCGTCGCACTATCTATCCCAAGACACGTCTACACATGCTACAGTACTTAGAGGGAGCCGCAATGACCGGACTCTGAACAGACACTGCAGCGATCACAAATCAGATCCTCTTACGAGGACAGTTCTCCAGCTTCGGGGTAAGAAGCGAAAGCTTCTGGAACCACGTGCGGCTCAATACGATCCGCGTCTTTTGCTTCCATCCCCGGAGCAGGAACACCAAAGGCTCCGCCGCTAGGCGACAGGAGCTAAATCTCCCACCAGGCCCTCGTGGCAATTTGGAAGCTGCAGCCTACTCCTTCCTCAGACCGAAGCTTCGGATAGAAGCACAAGGCGCTGGCCACAACATCTCCATGGCACGCATTTCCATCTGGGCCATGACGCGAATCCACTTCCTCGGGCTTTTTCACTTACATTTTGAGGTTTTACTCGGGGGGTACCTGGGGTCTTGACATCAACGCATCAGTTTGTAGAGCCAGTGCTAGGCTAGGTAGTAAATAAAGTTGTAAATTAAAGGAAGCTTCCCTCGCGGTGGAAGCAAGCAGAAAGGACCAAAAAGGGTATAGGGGAGCAACCAAATCCGACGGTCTGTTTGTCCAATTTGTTCTTTCATGACGTCTTTAAACAAAGAGTTGGGTGAGTAGAGCATGACTAGGCGATTATTGATTGACAAAAACCTAGTGTGATAATTATATTTGATATGATTCACGTGTTTGTCGACCGCATGCTCATGGAGACGCTGGCTTTTTGCTATTGAGAATAAAAAACATCTTCATCGTTTGTCTTCGTAGCAGAAGGAGAGCGCCACAGTAGAACACAACCACTGATTCGCACGGACTGAATCCATGCAAACACAATAAGAACCGCATGCGAGTCTCCATCCGACCTCACGCTGATATTCCTATTCACAGATTAGCGGTGTCGGTGCCCTCTCACATTTATATCATCAGATACAAATGTGAGATTATATTCAAATTATTATCAAATCGAATTTTTTTCATTAGATAAAAGAAATATAGTTATTTTCTCGAGAAGCATTAACGATATCCTACTTATGTTCCCAAATTAACAGTCTTATTGGATAAGAAACACTATTACTCTAGAGACACAAACTCACAAAGACGGGAAAAAAATGGACTCATGCAAAGGTTCGTACTATTATATGTTTCTTCTGGATATACTAGTCTACGCAAAACTATCTCGCATACGGCCATTTATGGATTATCATGAGCAGCTCCATAAGAGAATGATAATTAAAAAAAGTTGTAGATTTATTATGTAAAATCTGGATTTCGTCATCATAACTTTTCTTTCTATGTAATCGACACCCATATTTAAAATAGTGACGTGTAAGTTTTATGACTCACAATATCGGTTATGATTAAACGTAGTCTTGATGAACTTAATATAACTATGGCTAGTTAGACTAGCTACAACAAGATATCTACTTAGACTAAGTAGCATGCGTTATATAAAAAAGCTGGCCTAAGCTCTTTCGGCCTATGATCTACGAATGCCTTATTACGGTTTCAATAATAAAGCATAATGTTTTTAGGAGAAAAATCTCATTGATATGAATCACATTGATTATTCATCGATTATTTGTTATGAAAATTTCATGTTTTTTTGCGATGATTTTATGTCTAGAATAACAATCAATATCATAGTCATTTCAAAACTTCATTTCAATTTTTTCATTTTTTTCATTTTCATTTTACATCTACATACTTCAATATTTGTTGAACATCAATTGCACAATTATTCTGAGAGACATAGCGTGTTGTTACCTCTACATAACATTTGATGTTGAAAATCCCATGTGTCTTGATTGCAACAAATCAGCTACCATTGTTGTTTAAATTTATCATCATTTCTGGTTGACATTGGTCTACAAACAATGAGTCTAATTGCTTTTCAAGTAATAATTATCCTGTGTAAAAAAATAGAATATGACATCTTAAATGACTAAATAAAGTTTACATTTTTTAGTATGATAAAAAGTAACATAATATTTTAAATTCTCTGCAACACAATGCAATTGTTGGCGCTTATAAAATTGTTGCAATTTTTTGCAAAAAAAGCAACAAAATAAAATTTTTTGTTGATGTAACCATCTTTAGTTAGTTAGAACTAAAGTAGAGGTTACTCTGAATATGGATGTAGATACTTTAGTGTGCACTAGTCATAGATGCCACATCAGCGATCCGCGCACTTGGTAGGTACAGAGTGGATGTGTTAGTTGACAGTGCCACGTCAGCAATCCGTGTGCTTGTAGGTAAGGATTGAATGTGTTAGTTAGTGTGTTAGTTGGGTGCGCCACGTCAGCGATCCGTGTGCTTGTTAGGGTTATCCGCCACGTCATCCATCCACTAGGAGTGGGATGGATGGTGGAGATTAGATCTTATCACTTTGTACTTGTTGGTGAGAGCTATATAAGGGAGAGGAGAACCATTGTTGGTATCTCTCATCTTCAGAGTTTACGTTTCTATCTTCGAGTGAACTTCTCTCTAAACCCTAGTGTTACAATGGTATCAGAGCAACCTTGCTCTTTCCTTGAGTGTGGATTACCCCTCATGGAATAGCAAGTGAGTGATGATGGAGTGTAGTCTTGAGAGTGTATAGAGGCTGGCAGAGGTCATTCATCTGCATGTAGAGAGAGGTGGAAGGGGGAAATTGTGTTTTTGCAGATATGGACAGGATTGACAGGAATCCAGTACCGCACTGGCCAATTCCTAACCTATTCGATATTCACCTTCGTTGCATGGAGAAACATCATTTTCGGATGTACCTTGTGGCTTGTTGGGGTGCAGATTTTATGACTAGAGTGATGGAGTCAAGAGTGCCACTGATTCTTCCAATAGTTACTTATGGAGAGACTTGGGATTGTACTATATACATTCTATACTGATTGTTTCATGGATTTGAATCGCGAACCACCTGTTCCGGTTCGATTCAGCACTTATGTAGAGATTAGAACAGTATATAGACAGAAGAGGATATGGAGAGATTTTCTTGTGAGGAATTATGGAGAGGAGTACTATAGAGCTGTGATAGAGTCACCTGCACCTTTTGTGACTCCTTTGTTGAGAGGTCACATAGTGATTATACTCACTTTGTATTAGAGGGATTGTGAGAAAGCATGGGAACATCAATTGATATGGGTGAGGTTCTCAATGCAATCATGGCGGAGATGAAGGAGTTGAGAAAAGCAATAGTAGATGGGCATACCAAGCAGCAAGCCATGGAAGATAAAATCTTCGCATTAGAGAGTGAGAAAGTAGAGAGAGAGAGAGTTGGAGAGATGGAAGTTGAACCTCAAGTTCAAGCTTCCCAAGTTCAGCCAGAACCAACTCCTATTGATGCAGCAGAGGCAAATAGGAGACGTCTTCAAGAGATTGAAGATCAAGCAAATCTTTTGCTTCGAATGGGAAAATCCTGTAAGGTGGAAGCTTACAAAGGGAGTAGAGCAATGGGAGTGTTAGAGGGATGGATTATGAGGATGAATATTCATTTATCCCATTTTCATGTTTCTGATTATATTGCAGGAATGTTCATGAGATCTTATCTTACGGATAAGGCTCTCACATGGTACACAACATGGGAGAGAATGCTTTCAGAACGAGGTGCTACCATTTCGTGGAGTGGAATGCAAGAAGGACTTCTGCAAAATTTTCAAGCGGTGGATTCTCTTCAAACTGCAAGAATGAAGTTGTGGGATCTGAAGCAGAAAGGAGGTATTCATGAGTACATTGAAGAATTTCGTGATCTTCAAGTATCTATCATGGATATGAGTGGAGCTGAAGCCTTGGACGTGTTCAAACGAGGCCTGAAAGATCGAATTCGAAAGGAGGTGATGGTAAGCAATCCATCTACTGTGAATGAAGCAATCGCAATTGCTCAACGAATTTCAGGTGCTTTTGGTGTCACACACGGTGAACCAGTGAGCAATTTTAGAGATCCATCTGGTCCAACACCGATGGAGTTGGGAAACCTTCGACGTAGAGAAGGTTTTGCACCAACAAGAGGACCACCACCAAGATTTGGAGGTGAGATTAGGCGACCAGGAGTTCCAAATTTGCAAGAAGGTTATGCAAATAATGGAATGGTTCGAGGAGGAGTTGGAGTTCGTGACAATCGCCAATGCTATGCATGTGGACGAATGGGTCACATAGCCAAGTTTTGTCGAGTTCGGCCGACACAACAAGGAGGACGGCCCATGCAGCGACGACCGTTCAACAATATGGAGGGGATAGAGTATGAAGAGGTGGAGGAAGCAGTTTCGGGAAACGAAGATCACCAGTAATCTTGCCTCGCGGCCTTACTGGTTCTACAAAGCGAAGAAAAGGCGAGGTTGGAAGAAGGCAATGGTTGGGAGCTCATGGAAGGAGTAAGAAGCAAGCTCAACTCATTGTCACTGATGGTTTCATGGAAGGACACAAGGTGAGAGTTTTAATTGATCCTGGAGCAACTGAGAATTTTCTATCAAGGAGTGTTGCTATGAAGTTAGGTTTGATGTTGATGAAGGACGTGAGTGAAGAAGTTGAATTGCCAAACGGGCAAACTGAAGTGATAGAAACACTACCACGGAGTGTAGAATTATCCATAGGTAGATACAAGGAGAGCATTGAATGGAGAGTAATTCGTTTAGCTCGATATGATGTCATCCTTGGAATGCCATGGATGGAACAATATAATCCGAAGGTAGATTGGAGAAGAAAAGTGATTACAAGTAGTGGATGGAAGATCTATGGAGATAGAATTAGATCTCACAATAGGAATTTACCCCTCTTTGTGATGGGTACAGCATCCATTTCTAGAGATGATGTATGTTTCCTTGGACTTATAAGAGATATTGGGTCCACGGACAAACCTTACATCCCGGAGTCCTTGAACGACATTTTTATGGAGTATAAAGATGTTTTTCCAGATGATCTACCTGCAGGATTACCACCAAAGAGGCGAGTAGATCACAAGATTGAGGTGATACCTGGAAGTACACCAACTTGCAAAGCTCCATATCGTTTGGCTCCAAACGAATTGGAAGAATGCAAAGCTCAAGTGGAGGAGATGTTGAGCAAGGGATTCATTCAACCAAGTGTTTCACCTTATGGAGCTCCAGTACTCTTTGTGAAGAAGAAGGATGGATCCATGAGACTATGTATCGATTATCGCGGGTTGAATCAGCAAACGGTGAAAAACAAATATCCATTACCTCGTATGGATGATTTGTTTGATCAACTTCAAGGAGCGAAGTACTTCACCAAGCTAGATTTGAGAAGCGGCTACAATCAAATTCGAATTGCAGATGAAGATGTTCAC